AGTTTTGAAACGACACGTTTTCAATGAGCGGAAGATTACCGCGAATTTCGCTCCGGAATAAATAATGGTACAATCGCAGCCTGATAGAACGGTATAATTCGGTTGAAAACGCGAGCGTTCGCATACTTGAACGAGGAAACGATAATCCACGCGAGATACTTTGTATCGCTTTGCAGCCCCGCCGCGTTATCTCCGCGGCTCGGTTCAAACGCATTAAAATAATGTGTCGAAACGTATATTTCCGAGTGAATAACAAAGAGACGTATCCGGTATATATCGAAAATATACGCGGGAAATTTTCGGCGAAGGAAGGGGGATAAAAAGGAAAAAGGAAAGCGTAGGAGGGGAAGAGAGGGGAAATGAAAGAAAAACAGGATCGGTTTTGAGAGACGCGATGGGCGATGCGTGTCGCCGCGGCGAGTCAATGCATTCGGTATTTCCATGTTTCAGCGCGACGACATTACATGTTAAAACGGGAGCAGAGCCATTAAATGGATCGACTGTTGCGCGCGTCCAACACGAGGCGGTTGCTATTGTTTCGTTCAACTGTGTGAATGACACTGTAAAAGCGAGAACGCCGCGGCGTAAAGCGTCTAGTCAGATGATGCACGCGATTAGCGTAACGCCATTATAACGCGGCGATCAACTGTCGTATTACTTTCTGCTCGCGCTTCTGAGGGCTCCTTGTCCCGCTCGTTCAGCGTCTATTTTTCCTCCCGTCGTATTCTCTCTTAATTCTGCACATACACGTATGCATGCATATTTATTTTCTGTGATAAATTTTCCGCGTTCTATCTTCGAATAACGCTTGAAAATACGGCACCGGATAAACGATCGAGTTTACCCTCCTTCTTGATTATTCAAAATCGTTACTGATTCCCCGGCACTTCCGAGCGGATTTTTATCCACCTTCATTCCAGCTCAACTTGGAGAATCTCAATTAAAAACTTTTCCCCCCCTGTCTTGCGCGTTGACGCTGTTGAATCGAGATGTACAAATTCAACTCCGCGGCAGATAGCAAGCGTAGGGATGTTCGCTTTGAGCGTCCCTATGTCGAGTAGATTGCAAAATTGTAATATTTTGCCTCAATTATTTCATGGTTATTTTATTACACGTCCTGGCTGTTTCGCGCTGTTTTACTCCGATGTACGGCAAAATTATCGTTGTTGTTCATTCGGTTTTGCGCAGCGGAAATGACGACACGGTGAGCGTGGTGTTCATGTATATGTAGCAGAGAAATGATAAAAATGAAGATTTCATCAAATCCCTAAGGTAGAAAATGGAGATTTGATGAAATCTCCATTTTCATCATTTCCCTGCGACATATATACGGAAACAGTACGGAATTAACTCCGAAGTTAAATCAAATACTTTGTGTGTGTGTGTGTGTGCGTGTGCGTGTGTGTGTGTGTGTGTGTTTATATAATAGTCTTATCATATAAAGTTAAATCATTCAAAATTATTTTATCTTTGGTTGAACAAAATATAAGAAATGTGATAAATAATTCTCTTTAGAAGTAGAATGTGCAATAAGTTTTTCGAAGTTTCGATAGTCGGATCTTCAATAAGCGTAGAAATAAATGTAACCTTAAGAAACGAACCTTAAGAAACTAATCACAATCGAATATGAAAAGAATAATCGATTGGAATTAGTCAATTTCTTACGGTTTGAGGCTACACCTATTATATACCCGGTCTATAGACGGTATTCATAATTAGATCTTATATTTAAGACCTTAAGTTCATCTTCAGATGTTCACAGCCAATGAAATGAGCCATACAGTACAGTGAAAGTTTCCTTATTCGCGTTTTCACTATTCGCGGGTTAAAAAAATTGCGACACAGTTCCTGTATTCGCAGCTAAAAATTTCTTTATTCGCGGATCCAATCGGTATATAATCGGTATCCAAATGTAAAGGTGATATTTTTGTCACCTAATACGACGGCTTTACTTCAACCCATGGATCAAGGAATAATCCAGGCCTTTAAGCTTTATTACATTAAGCGAACCTTCAAAATCATACTGGACGCCATGGAAGTCGATCCTGATATGAACGTTATGCAATGTTGGAAAAAATTTGACATAGCGAAATGCATTGTTAACATAAAAGAATCGTTGGGAGAACTGAAGCCAGAGACATTGAAATCGTGCTGGAAAAAACTGTAGCCCGTTCTGACTGTCGAAAATGATGAAGAATCCGTGCAAATTCAAACTTTAACTGCAAACATTGCTGAAGTTGCGAATGGAATAGGATGAGATGACTTTGAACAGATAGAATCAAATGACATTCAAGAGTTGCTTGAATCGCAAGATGAAGATTTGACAGAAACCGACTTAGAGGAAATGTTAACTCCGCATCCCATTGAAGAAGAGGCTTCAACGAGTTCTGAAAAGGTGGTCTTTAACACGTTGACTGCCGCGTGCATTTTACGTGGTTTGCCCATGGCGCCAACATGAATTTCTTATTATGCGATGTATATTATGTTGAAATATTATTTACAGCAGATAAGGTGAGTTATATAATCGTGTTTAATGCATATTTCGTGGTGGGGGTCACCGGTGAGGCGCTGTAGACAATTTTTGCGATTTTAGGATGAAGTTAGCGATATTTAGTGAAATGTTCTGATGATGAAGATTGCATTTTATCAAGCAATTACGTACAGAAAAAACCTCATCACGAGTTAAAAAGAAACCAGGAAGTGTAAGGCGATTTTGCAAAGTGTGCTACGAAAAAAATTCAAAACAGCTAGGGAGAATAAGAGCAAAGAATTGCATTAAAAAGTGGCTACATATTGTGCCGACTGTTTTGGTTCACCTTTTCTTTGCCTACAGTGTTTCAATGTAACTCATCGCAGTGTGGAAAAAAAATAATATGTATATTCTCCTTGTATTAATAAAATTATTTTTGCATGTTCTGTATGGCATTAATTTCTTCAAACCATTAGAGTAACAATGGTATTATTAAAAAATTTATCAGTATCGATATTTACTCTAATTATGTATTTTTACTATTTGTCGCGTCGCCCGTCACCGGTGGTCCCCATGGCGTTGTAGCCAAGTCGAGCGCCGGCCACCGGTAGTCCCCACGGCAGTCAATGTGTTAACTTGAAAAATCTGAGTGAAGGCTTACGGATGGCAAATGAGCTTTGTGATTTTTTTATGAAAATTGATCCGTCTATGGAAAGAAGTCTCATATTTAAAAGGCAAATTATGAATGCCACAGCTGAATATCAATCTGAATTAAAAAACCTTTTTTAAAAGCGGCAAAACAAGAAAAAATTACTAAGTTCTTTAAACCCTTGCCTAAGCCTGACAATAATTAGTAACAGATATTGTTAAAAATCACTTATTAAATTTATTTTATTCTGATATTTTTTTTATATCTTGGAACCATGGAACGTATCCCCTATAATTCTATACAAATTACCATTCCATATCCACGGTTTCTGTATTCGCGGCAAATTTATGGAACATATCCCCCGCGAATAAGGAACTTTTACTGTATCTGAAAGTAAACTTAAAACGACCTTATATATAACATCCGACTACAAATACCGACATATGTCTTCTGTATATAGGAACGCTTGCCGGCAAAGATCGACGGTAGCTAATAAACTTCTAGCTCTTAAGGTTTTTGCGTAAATAAGCTTTTTACAATAAGCCGTTAGTCATGACGCGTAAAGTATGAAAGAATCTATCAATCAGAATCTTAAAGAAATGAAGGAATCTGATTGGTGGTTTTTTTATGCCTTATATGTTATTTATTAACACATTGCATGCGGGAAACGTACTTTTACGTTTTTTGCAATTTGTCACTAGAGCGCGGATCACGTAAAAGTATGTATTTAGTAGATTTGTGCTGGAGAGCGGGTATCGTATAAATACGATGGGCAAGTGTGTACGTTTTTTTTTTAAATAATCGTAGAGCATATGTTTAAGTGTAAACTAAGAAAAGTTTTGTTGAGAAAAACGAAGTAGTTAGAGATTTATTGCGATTATACTGAATACTCCCGCGAAATTCACGAAAAAACGCCCGCTACACGCGTAAGTCCGCGGCGAAATATACCCGCATGCAATGTGTTAAGCATTGTGATTAACAGATTATTATAGAGAGCCTATAAGAAATTTTTAATCGTAACCGTGAGTCCGTAAAATTGATCAATCACTCCTTGCGGTCGAAGAATAATCAATTGTGATTGACCAGTTTTCTTACGGACTTATGGTTACGACTAAAAATTTGTTATGTGCAAAGGTCTTTCAATGTTCCAGTCTTAATATTGTAAATTTACAGTTTACATTATATATCTCGAATTTTAAAATACTTAGCTCTTTTTTAATGCAGTTTGGAATGTAATCGATGATCAATCTGAATTAAAAAACCTTTTAAAAGAAACCAAGAAGTGTAAGACGATTTTGCAAAGTGTGCTACGAAAAAAATTCAAAACAGCTAGGGAGAATGAGAGCAAAGAATTGCATTAAAAGTTGCATTTAAAATTCAATGTATGTGATATTAACTATAAATTTTCAGTACTAATAGCGAATATCGGAATATAGTTCGTATTACACGTGCCGATCACACATTACAATATTATGTTATTTTAACAATGCTTTGAAATATTGTTAAAATGTTGTTGAAGTAATATTGCGAAATAATATCTTTGCAATATTGCGAAATAATGTCTTTTCAATATTGCAAATTACAATATATAATGTTACAGCGTTGCAGCAATATTATTGCAAGCCTCTGTGCTTTATGGGCTCTAATATCAATGCATTGCTAATCAATATATCGGTCTATCGGTACTATACGGAAAAAAAAATCAGCTTCAGATTCTAGATTTAACTATTGTAAATGTCATTTATAATAATACGATATATAATTTAATTTACAATAATGTTTGTCGCAGCAGTAAAAAAGTTTGCTACTGCAGCAATTAAAATTGTTTAAACTGCTCAAGTTGCTTGAAGTTTTAGGTGTCTATATGTTACAATTACTCACTTGACTCCGCTGTGTGTATTTCTGAACGCGATTAAATACTTCTTGCTCGTCAGCAGTCTCAATAACACATAAATGTCTCGGCCGAAAATGTGCGTGGAGTAGCTTAACTCTTCTATTTTATTAGTAACGGCAGTTACTTGTTGACAGTTCGCCTTGGGTCGGGTAAAGCCGCAGAGTGCAGCACAATCAATCCCTCACTGCTATTTATTATATACCTAAGAATCTAGAGGCGGAGTGTAAGACAAATTCGCGATAAGAGGAGGGGTGTAGTGCTGTCTCTTTCTACAATAGGGCACGGTGTCGGATGTTTCCGCCGCATATTCGATAATTTCTGAAAGATATATTTTATATTCTGTAACCTCCGAATTAAAGTAGATTAGCGCAGCCCAAAATTATACAGGACAGCATTTCTGTAAAAGTTGGCACAGAACTCCTTGAAATAATCATGAAACTCAGTAAAACGACATTCGATGGTCGAAAACTCAAAATGCGATCCTTTTTAACGTTTTCGAGAAATTGTTACGCTAGACTGTATACCACGCAAAATTCGATTATCTTCGGCTACATTCGTTACATAATTATGTAGCGTATGGGTGTATGGGGTTAAGAGGTTATGGGTTTAAGGAATTAAGAGATGAAGGGATTAAGATGTTAAGGGGTTCTGGAGTTATTGGGATTAAGTGATCAATGGATAGAGGATTTATTGTGATTTCGGGACTCTTTTTTGAAGTTATGAAAAATCCTGACGTGATGGGGTTAAATGGACCCCGAATTTGGATTCAGCGACCCCCCCCCCCCCCCAAAAAAANAACATATGATAGACATAGTCAGATCCCAGGGGTAATTTTGTGAATTTTTTTTGTGGAGCTGTGTAATCAACAGTGCCTCATGATAGAAAGAGACGATCAGCGAATGAAGAAGGAGATCGCTCTCACTCCCATTATCCGCGAATTAGCCAATCCCATTGCCAAAAACTTTATACTCCGTCCTTAGATTATTAGGTCCGTGCTACTCACCGAGTAGCCATATTGGATAGTTGTAGTTTACATTTACTAGTCACGAATTTACTAATCACGATGTGAAGTGATTCTATGCACATATATAACGGGCGTTTTCCATTTAGTGGCGCAAAATGATAAATGCATCATGTTGTTTTTGTTCCATATTCCATGAGCAACAAAGATAGGATGATGCTTGTGTCGACTTGTGTCACCGAGCGGCAAGCACCCATGAATGTTTTCGATTTACTCATTCAACCCGACTCTGGCAGCATTCCGATAATCGCTGCAATATTTTAAACTATAATATACTTTATGAACAATATATTGCAGTACTGCAACGATTATCGGAACATTGCCTGAGACGAGTCAATAAGTCAGAAACATTATAAAGAAAAAAGTGTATCTCCAATAACGAAATATCACGATGAATGATTGAATGCAGAAATATAGTTAGTTATATAAGTACAGGCACATGTATAGGAGCGTGTATGTGCAAATGTGGTGTGTGTAGGTGCGTACAACATTCAGGCACACATGAGATATGACTTCATAGTTATTAAGAAACAAAACATAACTGTTTTCTCCCTTTACTCAAGCATGAACTAACTTCCGGGGGACGTATAGGGGATGGCGATTGACTCGAGCACAGTGCTCGACGGGTCCTTTTGAGGAATAAAGTCGCTTATTCTTCGGCTTTTTCTTTCTGTCTGACACGGACAGGTAACCTCGTATCCGTGACCTACAAGCAACAGTCCGTAACCTGAATTGATGTGATTAGCATAGCGGAATGAGAATTCCATTACCGGTGCCACGACCCGATAACGAGATACAGCCGTAGTGAAAAACAAGAAGTCGTTTATTTTATTTCGCAAGCACGCTGAAAATTTTCCGGTGAAATTCACAAACACTCGGCGCGCCATAGTATCATGCGCGATATTAGATATGTGTATCGTACACATCCGCGGAATGTAATGGGAAATCGATAACGCGTCCGGCCTATGTGAAAAACTGTCCTCAAAGGTAACCTTTTATAATATTTTTAGAGATGGGAACACACTCTTCTCGTCTCGCCGGTATATTTAGTGTCGAGTCCGTTGAACAAACAAAATCGAGGTAGAATGTGCGAAGATTGTGTTTTAACACGAAGAAAACGATTAATCGCGCGTATAAATCGCGTGCATAATTTTCGCCAGGGTGACCAGCAAATTTTCGCGTCATACATGACACCATCGAGTGTATTATAAAAGTGGCACGCGCTACTTTTATAACACTTTTCTAACATTCCAATGTTATACGAACGTATATAATATTAGAATGTTAATGCTGAAGGAATTCCGATGTTATTAGAGAAAAAGGAAAAATATAGAAAAGCGTCGTCGTTATATTGGCGTGAGCGCGAATATTAATAGCTCAACTATTTTCAAGCCATCACGTATGCGTTCTACGCAAACGACGGATGTAGCGTTTTGAACGTCCTCGTGTTGCGAGAGACGTCATCTCGAATTTTACGCAGTGAAAGGACACAATGTACGAACGTTTCGTTGATAATATGCTTCTTTCACAGTCAATTTAGTACGAACCCTCTTTGCTGGAAATCGCGAGGTTACGCGGAACGTTTACCGAAATTTTAATTAGCGCCGTCTAATGACAGAAAAAAAACCAGCCTCCGGGAAGGCATCGCGCGATATATCATCGTTGACATATAGAAAATTAAATGAGTTTGCCGGGCAGAGTGCGCTCGTTTCTCATTAACTCAATTAACGAGCGCTCCCTACAACCTTTCCGCGCATTCATCGCACGCGCGCGAATGCGTGGCGCATCGTAGTTTCTCGCAAAATTAAATCTAAGCTCGCCTTGCCCACTGCGCCTACGATTAATTAATATTGGACAACTTATAATTGAATGTTCTACATACGTTTTTGCGGGCGTGTATGTCGCGTACAAGTCTCTGTTAAAATTATACCCGCCGCGTCTTCGTTTACACAGAGATACTTTTTTGGGTTTAATAAAATCTCTTTAATTAAACGAAATTTGTCTTTTGGGATGGAGCAAACGAACGAATAACTGATTCAGCAAACAGGATTGTTTGGTTTTTCAAATGTTACGTCCTGGATACCTCGGGAACAACGAATTCCTTCTTTTTATGATTGGGAAACAGACGGATTTGGGCAAGCGCTATTGTAAAAAGGATAAGATTAAACGCCGCCAAATGCGTCATGTGTTCCCCAACGCGTCTATCACCTTTTCCGCTTTCACACGTGATCGGCCGGACTCAGGCCTTTCGATGGGATTAGGATCTTGGGATCGTTTATGACATCCTGATAATGTTAGGAATTTTCCAGGCTATCCGTTTCCCAACCTTCCATATCCGTTTTCCACGAAAACTGCCCTTGTTTTGTGGATCAGAATGAACTTCTTACAATTCACTCTGTGGTTTCGTTTATTTGTTGTTTGTATGAATCGTTGTCGTCTGGTAGGTAGCTGTGGTCGCTAAATGGTATGTGATATTTATTTAACGCATGTGTTGTGATAACGCCTCGAGAGATCCTTGATCGCGACTACGTCTCGAGATATCTTCTCGGGTCGCAATGACGCCTAAAGATTCTTGGATCACGACTCGATGTTATACGCACGTTTGCACAAGTTCGTGAAAGAATCATATGTTCGCTGAGGCGGACGGACTCGAACCGACTTCGTCACCGCGTTCATAGCGAGTATAGCTGGAAGAAGAACGCTTATGGGCGGGTTATTGTTTCGTCCCTATGCGATAACGCGCCTTTGAGGTTTCGGCGCTCTAGCCGCGGCGTCGACCGCGGCTAAAGATCAGAGGAGTCGGCTCGTTCGAGTCCCTTCGCGCATATCGTATGTTTCTTAAGAATAAGCGCGGTTAAGTATAACGTTCGACTGTTATATCTACATATGTGTAGCAATATGAGTCTGCCGTGCGTATATATGTGTGCATATATGTGTGCATATCGCCCGTCTTTGATTATCTGCCTACTTAATCCTATGTCGTGCACGACTTCGCTTGTGCTACGTAACAGCCTTCATTGGCGATCGTCATCTGCCACTCCCCACAAAATCTTCCCTAAAATAAACCTTACTCTCTGGCCACTCCAGAGTCATTTTCTTCTTCTTCTGATGAGTAACGCGCTGTCCAAGTCGGGATCTCTTAAGTGAACTATTTCTCTCGGTATTCCGGGATCCCAGAAATCCGATACACCACGATCAACGAACCCATGTTCTACGTACCATTCACCACAGTCGATTCGCCTAAATCGTAAGTCTCTATTTCATATTTAAACATGACTTTTAATCATTTCAAGCCAATCTCCAATCCCACTTCACTCCTTAAAACACGCACATACACTGCGTAATTATTATCTTCCTTGTATTAGGTTGGTGCATATGAAATGTCGGATTCTTAAGTGATTGTATAAAACTGTATATCTTTCTTCAAAAGCTGTTTATTCAATCAAAGTATGCTCCATTCGCTTCAATACACTTCTCCCAACGAGATTTTAAAGCGTAGATGCCTGTCTTAAAAAAATTTTGGTCTTTAGAATTAATAAACTCTGATATCGAGTTTTTTAGACTGTCTTCATTTTCATGGTGTTTGCCTCTTAAAAACAGCTCTAAATGCTTGAAAAAATGAAAATCGGTCGGCGAGAGATCCGGTGAATATGGTGGATGCTGCAAAACTTCATATTCCAGTTCGTTCAGTTTCGCAATTGTTTTGTGCGATGTGTGCGGCCGAGCGTTGTCATGGAGCAGTAGCGGGCCATGCCGATTCACAAGCGATGGGAGTACAATTTGGTGTCTCAATATCGTTGTATGGTCAACTTTCATCCTGATAGCAAGTTCCCTCGTGGATACGGCTGGATCCGCTTCCACTAGAGCCTTCAGGTCATCATTATTCACAGACGTTTTGGGTCTTCCGCGCGGCTCATTTTGCAGTGAAAAATCGCCAGTCCGAAATTTTTCGAACCAACGCTGCACTTTCCGATTGTTAACCGTATTCTCCCCAAACGCTTGGTTTATGTTGCGTGCAGCTTTTGCAGCACTATTACCAAGTTTGTACTCATATAAGAAAATGACGCGAATGTCGGCAGAATTCATATCGGTAATAAACTCAAAAGAAATAAAAAAGGGAAG